AGCCCCACTGTCTGGCACATGGCAGGCGTTCAACAAATGCTTGATGACTAAACGAATACATAAAACCGATTGATCAAAGTGTGAAAATTGCCAAGAAGTCTAAACCTGCCCCCCTCTGTTTCACACCAAGAAAGAGTTTATCAAAAACACCCTCACAAAATGACTTCCCCTGGTCCGTGCCGGCACTTGCCTCAGAACCCATTCACCTCCACTCAAAGGCAGCAAGGCAAACCAGATCCTTGGGACACCGCCACATCCCAGACATAGCTCCACCTCTCCGGCCCCTGCCCCCATTCCAACCCGACCCGAGGGAGGTGGGTGGAGAAAATGAGCAGACAAATACAGGTTTCGGGGGGACTCAGGCTCAAGAAACATCTCTATGCATACTGTTTCATTCATTCCAGAAAAGCTGAACTACAGAATCATCCCTCTCAATTCTCCAGGGGAGAAACTGAGGTACAGACAGGTTAACTGGCTCTCTCAATGAAAGAGATCAAATCAACAGAAGAGAAAAAATAGCTCCCTAACTGCCCAGAAATTTTACTCCGAAGCACAGACTTCAGCCTGGATTGTCCGAATGAAAGCCAAGGATTCTGGGTACCCACAGCACAAAGCTACTGCTTTCTTCCCCCCCCCCCCCCCCCCGCCCTTCCTTTCTTTCTTTTAAATATCATGGATGAGGAGGAAGTACCGGATCTGAAGGTTTATTTACCATTCCTTAGCCTGACCTTCCAGGAAGAATGTCACTAATGAGAAACAATCTACTTGGGCTCCCCGACCCAGAATTTTCATAGGGATCAATTTAGGATTTCAAAGTCTAAACAGGACAAGGGTAATACTGACTGTCTTGCCTTCAAAGAAAAAAACAAAAAAAAAGCAACTGAGTTTTTCCTGTCTGGAAGGAAGTTTTGTATATGTCAAACAAATGTCAGATCTGAGGTTCCATCTTTCCCGTTGTTCTGACCGCGTTTGGACATCCACTGGGAGAGAAAGGAGCACATTCGCCTTCGTGTGGTGTAGGCTGAGAGAAGTCGAAAAGGAAAGGAAAGCTGAAGTTGGGACTGATGTTTCCCTAATTCAAGAACTGACCTTACAGTCGAGCCTAGAAGCCAGGAACTCTGCTCTGGAGACCAGATTCCATTCTCATTCACATCCAAATGACGATTTTTTTTTTCACTGTGGAGGAGACATTTCCATTCCAGCAAAGTTTACACTCCACGAAAGCAGGGGTCATGCCTGTCTTGCTCTCTGCTGTATCCCACTGCCAGCAGATGCCTGTCACATAATAGGTCCTCCTATTAAATGAATGAATGAATGAAACAATCAGTCACTGTAAAACAGTTGCCTAGAAACAGCCAATAAGTATCATTTCCTTTTTTTTTTTTTTAATTTATTTTTTGGCTGCGTTGGGTCTTTGTTGCTGTACGCGGGCTTCTCACTGCGGTGACTTCTCTTGTTGTGGAGCACGGGCTTTAAGCATGCGGGCTTCAGTAGTTGTGGCACACAGGCTCAGTAGTTGTGGCTCGTGGGCCCTAGAGCACAGGCTCAGTAGTTGTGCAGGGGCTTAGTCGCTCCGCGGCATGTGGGATCTTCCCGGGCCAGGGCTCAAACCCGTGTCCCCTGCATTGGCAGGTGGATTCTTAACCACTGTACCACCAGGATAGTCCTTCATTCCCATTTTAAAAGTAGGTTTTCCTCAGCAGGTGGAGACATTTTTTTTTACATGATAGGACCCAGAATTGTCTGGATCATCCTATCAGCTCATCTCACTGAATCTTTGGACACTACATCAGTGACAAAATGCTATTGTAATTCAGCTGGTTATTAAATAGCACGAATGGTGAACTCACAGATTCTCTTAAAACTCTGCCCCACGTCTGGCTGTGTTGGTGGGTCGTAAAACCTCTCAGGTGTTAGATGCCCTGTTTCATTTGGTCTCAGCTTAGCAGAAACCACTCTCCACCTACTGTCCTGGCCACCACAGCTGGGTATGGCGAGTCTCAATAAACTGTCACTTGGTGATCAGAAAGGCAGCAGTACGGCTCCATCTTGGACCAACTGTCCCCAACCACTCTGGCCTCAAATTCCCTCTCAGGAAGAAGTTCTGACCTTCCTCTGGGAGAAGGAGGGTGTGCATCGAATGATTCCAGCTTTGTTACGTTAGCTGAAGAACGACTGAGAGACAGCTGGTGTCAGGTGGGAAACCATGGATCTGAGCGTAAATTTAGGTTCTGCTACTAAGTGGCTGTATCCACGCTAGACAGATGGCTCCCTTCTGTGGCCTCAGTCTCTCTCTGTAAAATGGGGATAATAACTGTGCCTCCTTCCTGGGGTTGTTGTGAGGGTTAAGTAAATCAGTATAGAGAGAATACATTAGACAGTGCTGGCACACTGTACATACTATGGGTTAGCTGTTGTTTTTATCTGTAAAATGAGGGCCCTATACTTCATGATCCCTCAGCCCTCCTAAGAAGGGAAAACTTAATAACTCTGAGGTTGCATTTTTGTTTTTCCTATGCACCTGCCCAGACCATATACGGATAAAGGTAAGAGTTTGCACTAGTGGTTTAAAAGGAGAGAAGGAAAGGCTCCTCTCAGTGCTCTGTTTTGCAGGGTCCTGGAAGAAAACCCTCCCAGAGGGGCAACCCCATCTACCTAACCCAACTTAAATGTAATCTGTAATTTCCTGCTACCTCAGTGCAATTGGCAACACCATCTCAGCATGGAAATTGGTTCTGTTCAAAGAGCGGGAGAATGGCAGGAGGAACTTCTGGGCTCGGGAAGGGGTGCAGGTCCCTAGGGCTCTCTGTTCAGCCCCAGATTCTGGCCCCTTCCACCTGGGGTCAGGAGCCTTCCACCAATTCAGTGATGTAACCCAGAAATCTGGGCTGCAGTTTCTGTATCTCTTAATGATAATGATAATCTCTTAAATGAACACAGTTCATCACAGCCATCAAAATAACTGCTTCTCAAATATCCCTCATCCATGTGTGTGGCCCATTTTTATGATGAGTAAACTGAGCCTCAGAACGGTTATCACCGGAGGCAAAACACTTGGCATTTAAGCTAAGCTGCCTTGTTTAGACTGTTGATGATGTTTTTCCTGTGTCATACTTCCATCTTCCACAGTAAACTGCCTGATTACTTTGTTAAACAGAAGAGGTGTCCTGAATTGATATTAACGTGCTCCTAAAAAAGTCAACAATATCTACAGCCTTACCCCAATATCTGTTATTTTTTAAATTGAGGTATAGTTGACTTACTGACCCAATAACTATTGAAAAACCCTTATTAATGGGCAAAAGTGATCGATACAAGTTGGTTGCCCAGAGCTGGGATCCACTGGATCCTGGAGAATGGATCTCCCTGGGGAGGCCAGAGAGGAAGCTTAATTCCAAGCTAAGCCTCCCTCTTGGCTGGAAATAGCAGCCCCAGGTGCTCCCATCTCACTACCCCAGTCTGCAGTCTGTGATTAGGGGCCCTAATGGCCATAATGCCTCCAATGTGGTATTTAAACCAATAAGGCTTCAGAGAAGTTACGGTATGTTTAATAATGGCTTAATGACTACTCGTGAGATGCAAGGCTTCTGGTTCCTGTTTGGCCTTGATTTACAGCCCAACTCTGGCTGAGGACAGCCAAGAAACCCCCTCTAAGCCCCCAGCGGAAGAGGGAGGTGTTCACACCAGGGCCCTTGGATTCCTTTAAAAATTGAGAATTCAAATGAAATACAAATGATGTTTGACTCCCCATCCCTCTTGCTAGCCTCTGGAGGCACTGAAAATAAAAATCGGTGTAACCAGACCTAGGGACTCCTCAATCCACTGAAGTAAGCAGGGTCCTAGGGCCCTTGGGTGTTTCTTGCCAGATCTTGGAGGTTGTTTCACTTTTTGGAAATTCTAAGCTACTGCTTTAGTCCTCTGCTTCCTCTGGGCTAGGGAGACCCAGCTCTCAGGAGATGGAGCTCCCACCTTGGCCTCCTTCCAAGGTGGCAGGCCTGGGGCAGCAGAGCCCCAAGGTCTGAGCTGCAGACAGCCTCTCTCCAGTGGTTCCCCAGGCACTTCCAGATCATTTGCCCACTAAAAGGCATTCACTCCCTGCCTGCTGTTCAAACACAAAACCCTCTAGGTATTCCTCCACCTGCTCCTAAGGTAACCTCTGCTGGACTCTGTTCAGTCCTGAGCTGCCTCTGGGAGACCCCCTGTCTGCTCTGGCCCTGCCTCTGCTTCTGAAACCCACCAGGAATATACAGAAAGACTATGAGGATTGACTCTGTCCAACCTCCACAGTCAGATGAGGACACTAAGTGGCTAGTTCAAGGCTCCACAGCTAAGTAATGATCGTGCCCAGCTCCCAACCCCCATTGCCAGATAAGAGCTGTTTCCACACAACACTCCCAGTGACTCCTCTCCCCGAAACAAGAGCTCTCTAACGGAGGTGTTTTTGCTGGAGGCAAGTTTTTCCAACTCCCAGTAAAGAGAGTTAGATAAAGTCCCAGCCCAGCTCCTACCTGCTGCCTGGCCATTATCCCAGGCTAATGTCAGGAGACCAGGCCTAAAAGTATTTGTTGTGGGTGGAGGTGGTCTCTATCCCTGAACTGCCTCACCCCTCCAGGGTCAAGAGCCTCCAGGCCAGATATCAGGGCCAAGGGTGCTGCTCTAAACAAGGGACTCACCAAGATGGGCAGACAAAAAGGACCCTGCCCTCGAGAGGGGGTGGTTTCCTCCCCCTCTCCAACTGCTTCTGATACCGCGACTGGAGTGAATCAGGGGGCTCCCGGGCTCCGAGGGGTTAACCCGCGCGGGGCCGCACGTGACGTGGATGGTTCCAGCATTAAGTCAGAGTGCGGCCCCCTCCCCTGTCCCCCGCCCCCCGCGGCGCGCGCCGCTCCCGGGGGCTCCGCGCCCCCGCGCCCAGGTCCCTCCCCCTTGGCGGGCGCTCACAGGCCGCGCGGGCAGCGCGAGCCCCGGAGCCCCCGGCGGCCTGTGTGCCCCGAGCCGGCATGGACCCGGAGAGCTGCGCGCCTTTCGGCGTGGGGCCCGGGCCTCGCCCCTACGCGGCCGCCGGGGATGAGCCTCCGGGCCCCCAGGGGACCCCGGCCGCCGCGCCTCACCTGCACCCTGCGCCACCCCGCGGCCCGCGGCTGACCCGCTTTCCGGCCTGCGGGCCCCTGGAGCCCTACCTACCGGAGCCGGCCAAGCCGCCCGCCAAGTACCTGCAGGACCTCGGCCCCAGCCCGGCGCTCAACGGCGGCCACTTCTACGAGGGCCCCGCGGAAGGTAAAGCGCGGCGCGGGGCGTAGCGCGCAGCCCCTACCAGCTCTCCGTCTTCCATCCCCGGGCCCGCAGGGGCCTCCCCGCTTCCCTCTCCCGCTCGCCTACTCTTTAACTTTTTACCTCTCTCGCCCTTCGCCGCGGCTCCCTCTGAAGCCGGACCGGTGCTGGTCCCGGCCGGGCGAAAGCCAGCGCGGTGAGGGAGGCAGAGCCACGCGTGCCTCTGGTGGCGGGAATGGGAGGCGGGAGGTCGAGAGAGGGTGGAGTGGCGACGGCCCGGGGCCCACTCGGGCCCGAAGGCGGTCGGAACCGGGAAAGAGAGATCGTACTTGGCCGGAACTGACACCGACCCAGAAGCCCGGACCGGGCCCAGGACCCGGGCGCCACACTTAACTCTTGGCCCGCATACGGGGAGAGAAGCGCGGCTTTTGTGTCTGGCGCCCGCTGAGGGCCCTGAGGCTGGCCCCGACCTACAGTGGCCAAGCCGGGACTCAGCCGAGGGCTGCGGCCTCGCCTCCCCGGGAAAGGCTCTGCTGCCTGCGCCTTAGGCGCTCGGCGCAGTGGCCGCGGCTAGTGCCGCAGTGCCGGGGCCGTTCTCAATACGGAATAACTGTGTTCTTATTTCCCAGACTAACCTGGCCTCCCCGTCGTTATGCACGGCGATGGCCGCCCTTCTCGCAGTCTTGGCTTCCTCGCACTGGATCGTCACCGCGGGGCCGTCGGGAGCGGGCCTAACCCCTGGGTGCCTCCGGCTCCTGGGCCAGTGCCCTATTCACTAAGGCCAGTTGGACCGCGCAGTCTCCCAAGAACGCGCCTGAACTCCGGGGCCTGGCGAGCGGGTTCGCAACCCCGCCGCCGCCCGCTGCACCGGCTGACCTGTGGAAATGTCGGTGCCCGCGCCCGCCTCATCTTTGCTGCCGCATCCCGCAGCTTAGGCCCAGAGCTGGATCCTCCGAGATCGGCTGCAACCCGCCTCCGCCCCGCTGGCGCCTCGCGGGCCTCCTCGGAGAGGCCAGGCAGCTCGGGCCTTCGCCCAGTCGGGGCGGTGGGAATGTGTAGGGGAGGGCTGGGAGGTGTGTGGGGGTCAGCGGAGGAAATGAGCGAGTCCGCGGAGCTTCGTGTCTGTGCCCTTTGAAAGAGGCTCTCCTGATAAAAACCACAGTTGGGACTTAATGAGAAGCAGTTGGCCTGGCTCCTCTGATCCCAGCCAGACGGCGGCGGCCGCGCAGCGCCGTGAGCACCGCCGGGGACAGGTACCCGGCCTGGCTTGGTGCGCCACGTCCGGCAGGACCCACCCTGCAGGTCCGAGTCCCTGCTGGGCGCGACGGATCCCGCACTGACCGCCAGGATCGCGACCGGCCCCGGCCCCAGCGCCGAGCAAACTACGGAGAGCGCTGGAGCAGAACGAGCGGGCGGGGAGGAATCTAGCGACGGCGAGGGTGTTCACAACGAAATGCGTGGAAAGAAAACCAAAAAGTGTAAGCAACCACCAAAAAGAGGGAAAAGGAAATTGGACAAAACAACAGAGGAGAGAGGAAAGAAGGAGAGCTAAAAGGCGGTCGGCGAACTGGGCAGAACGGAAAGGAATAAATGAACGAATGAAAAAAAGAAAGCAAGGGGAGGATCGAACGAAGCGGGTAAATGGAGAAGGAGGGAACGGAGGAAGAGAGAAGCAGCAGACAATACGAAAGAAAAAAAGGACATCCTAAAAGAGTAGAAAATAGCAAAATGGGAACAAGTGGGAGAAGGAAATTAACGATTCCAGCTGATCAGAGGACAGACCAAACGAAAAGGAGGTGCGGCGAGTGCGAGCCGAGTCTGGGTAGAGACCCCGGCCGCCACTGGATTCCTCAGTGCCCTGGCCTGAACTCGGCAGGCGGGCGGGTGGCCTGCGTCCCTGTGGCAGAGCTGGGCTGCTAGGGAGGGACAGCCTCGGGGACTGGGGCCCGCGGTCTGCTTGGTGGGAAATGTTGGTCAAAGGGAGAGCCCGCTTAGTTTCTTGGCTTTTAAAATAACGAGCTCCGAGCGTTTCCAGTTCAGACCAGTGAGCGCGCAGCTGCGCCCATCTGCTGCGCGATCCTTGCGAGGCCGGGCAACTGCGCGCTCGAGAGCCTGGCACGGCGCTCCTCTCCAGCCCTTGGCCGCCCTGTGCGGAGAGCGCCCAGCCCTGGTCTGCACCGCGGTCGCGTCCTGGCGGCGCCAGCCATCTTCGCGCCCTCAGCGCGTGGCTGCTCAGAGGGACGGAGAAGTGCCTGGCTGTTCCTTCCTGCTCTGCCGGGGTCTGTCCCCTAGCTTGGCTTCTTGATCTCGGAACGCGCCCGCCGCCGCTGAGGCCCTGAGCCGCATAACCAGGCTGACCGCGGTCTCCGGGCCGGCCGCGGACTTCGAGAAGAGTCCTCAGCCGTTGGCCCCCGCTGAGGCCTCTAGGGCAAGGCTGGGAACCTCGAGGGAGAGCACCAAGGCCCCACTGGGGGTTTACAAACGGCGTGTAGGTCCACACCAGCTTCGGATATTCAGCCGGAGCAGCGGAAGCGCAGGCTTCAGAGCGCTCTGCGAGTCGCTTGGGAAAGGGCGCGCGCGGAGCAAGGCTGCCGCGAAAGCTGAAAGCCGGATGGCTGGTCCTGCGGCGTCGATGGACGCCATCCATGGGGCCAGTGGGGCTCCCGGTAGGCAGCCCGAGCCGTGCGGCTCCCGAGCTGCCAAGGCTTCGAGGCAGCCGCTAGTAGGGGCTCTGGCAGCCCCCCGCGTGGGGGAGTGCCCGGGGTGTGAGAGCCCAGTCAGGGACAGAGCTCTGCTGGTTCTTGTCTTTCAGGCCCAACAGACTGCTGCTGTGGTTCTGCGGTTGTGCAGGCCACGGACACCCCAGTGCTGAGCTCCAAGGCTTCTTGTCTCCAACGGGAGCACTACCCTCTTAATCACCCAGTGTCCCCACCAGGTGCAAGTGACTCCTGTACAGAGCCTGTGCACATCTTAAACATGCACCGGGCTTACAGTGCACCTTTCCCCTGATAAGCTTAGATTCAAGCTGCTGGCTTCTGTTCCTGCTCAGCCTTTCTTTGATCACTGCCCTTCGCTTAGCCCACCTCCATCTCTTTTCTCTTCTGGGCCTTGCTCCTCCGGAGGCCGCTTGGTGTTCTATGAGGCGTGCCCCTGTCTCCAAAGTGGGGGACTGCTGCCCTTACACTGGAGTCCTCCAGGCGGATGGAGGTTCCAGGACAATGGCAGTGAAAAGGGAAGAAGTTCTGTGGGCGTCTGAGAGGGCTGCAGAATGGGCAGTCCTGGGAGGCCACGTCCCAGGAGGCCAGCAGGCTTGGCTCTGTTTTTGGATAGCTATTCTGAGACGGGACCTGCTGCATTTTCATCCTTTATCCTGGTAGCTAGGTGGCTTAAGGTCAAGAGGGCAAGTCCCAGAGCTCCAGGTCTGATCACTTCCAATCTGGGCAGATCCTATTGAGATAGTCACTGAGGGCCCAAGAGGCAGATGAGCCAGCCCCAGAGCTTTGGGGAGCCCTCTGCAGTGACATCAGTGCTCCTCTGACCCCGTCCCTGAGCCACCCTCGCCCTTTTCTGCCTGGAGTCCAGCTGTCCCTCCCTCTGAATCCAAGATACCGAGAGCCCTCCCTCTCAGGCCTGCTGTGTGTACAGTGCCCCCTCCCAGTCTCCCTGGTCTTCCCGACCATTTAAAATTATTTGGTTTAACTTCCATTGAGTCCTCCTTCCTCAGGTCCTACCAGGTGGAACTACCCCAGAACCAAAATGTGTTGCCCAGGAATAGAAGTCAGGGACTGAAGCATTTTCCCCACCTATGCTCCACCTGAATTACGAAAGAAGCCTGGTGTCTGGGCTGTCACTAGGCACTGGCCTGAGAGCGGGTCCTCCCTGACTCTCCCCGGCCTCCAGGACACACTCACGAAGCGTAGCTTATTTCACGGCCTGAGTGGTCCTGGGAGGTCACCCACCACCTTCCATCTGGGGGGGACCTTGCCCAACTTGTCCTCCACAGGCAGACAGGGACTCGTCAGACCCAGAACCCCAGAGCCCGTCTCTCCAGTTCTATCCCCACCCCCGCCCCCACCCCCCAAGCTGTAAGTCCTGGGAAAGAAACTGCCTCTTGGTGCCGGGTCACTGGGCCTCCTGGGGGCCAGGCCCCCCCTGGGGATGGGCCTGGGGCCAGGGAAGAGGCTGTGTGAATCAGAGGGGCATCTTTGTGGCGCTGTTTCTGCCATCCCAGAGGACTGTTAAGAAGAGATTTCATGGCGACGCTGCTGGGGGTCCTTGCCAGAGGGAGAGGGCGGGGTGATCAGGGTGACCTATTTTTCACCATGCCCCAGTTGTGGCAGAGCTCCATCAAGTTTCCTGAGTGAGGGCTAGCACGTCAGAGTGGGGCTGCTTGTTAATCGTGGGCAGTGGGGGAGCCGTCAGAAACTCCTGGGGAGGGGAGGGACAGACGATGACAAGAACGATGGGCTATGGAACTGTGCCGTTTCCGCTGTCCCCTACCTCTCCTTTTCCGAGCATAGCCTGTCTCTATCTCCTGCTCTCTAATGCTGGAGCTTAAGTCCTTGCCCAAACATCAGTATTTTCAGAGGAATTTGACAATCCTTCTTGAAGCTTCTTTGCCCCATCTTGCCTTTCATACCCCAGGGCAGGGGGACTTGACATTGTCCTGAGACTCGGGGTTCAGAGAATAAGGCCCAGCCAGACCGGCCAAAGGTGGTCTGAGCATCCCTGTCCCTATCCAGTCCTGGAGCAGAGGCACGGGCATGGGAGCCAAGGCCTGCAGAGTCAGGGTCAAGGAGGCCACCCCCACTTCCCGCCCCTGTGCTAGGCCCTGCCGTGGCATCCATCCTGGTACCTCCACACCCTGTGGGACGCGCCACCACAGAATACTTCCCCGAAATGAACCCCCCTCCGTCCCCAGCAGATCCACCCAGACCACAGAGCACATGGCTCCCCAGGGCCCCCTCCCCAGCTGGAGGCTCAGCAGGCAGGCCTCCGAATGCCAGGCTCCCTTGAAGGGTGGCTGCCAGGAGGACGGGAGGAAAAAGGAAGGGGGAGGCGGGGACTGAAGCGTCAACGTTCTTCCCCCTCCCTCTATTCCACCCACAAAACCCCCCGGTTCGGTTTCCATCCTCCTTTTTGTGTTTTCCATTGCAGCTGAGGAGAAGGCCTCCAAAGCTGCCAGCTTCCCCCAGCTGCCCTTGGACTGCCGAGGGGGCCCCCGAGACGGGCCCTCTAACTTGCCAGGCTCCCCAGGCCCCTGCTTGGCCAGCCTGCGTGTCCCTCTGTCCCCGGGACTCCCTGACTCCATGGAGTTGGCCAAGAACAAGAGCAAGAAGCGCCGTAACCGCACGACCTTCAGCACGTTCCAGCTGGAGGAGCTGGAGAAAGTCTTCCAGAAAACCCACTACCCTGATGTGTATGCCCGGGAGCAGCTGGCTCTGCGCACGGACCTCACCGAGGCCCGGGTACAGGTGAGGGCACCCCGGCCACAGGGCTCTCTGGCTGCCTCAACCATCCAGACCATAAGCCGGGCCCGGAGGGGCTGGGAGAGGTGGACGCTGGTTCCACACAGAGTCGGCCTGCCCCCGTCGGCCCTCCTGGGCTCCCCTCCACGCCCTGCTCTGCTGCAGCCACAGGCTTGCGGCCCAAGTTGAGGCTCCTGCATGGGATGGGGGTGACAGGCTCCTGGAGTCAAAAGACCTGTATGGGAGTCCTAACTCTGCCACTTCTAGCTGACCAGGTGACTTGGGGCATGTCACTGAATCTCTGTCTTGGTTTCCCAATTTAAGAAAAGGGAATGATAGTACTACCTACATAAGGAGTATCTTTGAGGATCACAGATGTGTGCATTTTGGAAGACGTGAAATGCTAAAACACGAATCCGGGCTTCTCCCAAGGTAGCTGCCCAGAGTGGGGAGGGTCCCTGCCGGGGGGGTCTCAGGATCGGTGATGCTTAAAAGCCATCCTGAACCAGTGACCTCAGTCCTGCCCACTCCCAGACTGTGGTTGGGAGAGCCTGTCCGGGAGCCCCTGCCCACAACAAACTCTTCCCCAACAGAAATCAGGCCCCGGGGCGGGATGGGCCAGCTTCACTAGGGTGGAGCCCAGCCTGTGTGGATGGGGTGGGAGGATGGAGGAATGCTGGGAAAGGACAAAGGGAAGGGAATCCATGTCCAAGGCGTGCTGGAAGCGAGCAAGAACATGAAGGTGGCAGACAGGGGGTGGGGATGGAAAAGGAGGCTTCAGTAAGAGTCTGGCCCAAGAGGAAGATGGTCACTGCTGCCTTGCTCTGAACCTGCTTGATACGCAGCAGGCTCCCTGATGCCAAATAAGAGGCACCGGGAGAAGGCTTGGGTCTGGGCCTCTTGGGAAAGGTGAGGAGGTGACCTCTAAGCAGAGGACAGTCCCTCTCCCGGCAGAGGAGACTCACAATCTGGGTGGGGCCCCTCCAGAGGCTCCGAGGGCACTGGGGCAGGGGCCAGCTCTGGCAGAATATGGGAACCAGCAGTCAGTCTATAAAGAGGCCAGCTGCGGCCTAGCAGAGAAGGCCCTACAGCTGGATTCAACATAGGATCAGAGGGAGTTGGGCTGTTTCCCCTCCTCTGCTGGGTCTTCCTGCTTCCGTGTTCCTACCAGGTGGAACCCAAACCAGACTTCCAGAACTGTTCCTCAGGGCTCCTCAGGGCCTGGGGCCATCAGGGTAAGAGGCCCAGCATTCAAGGTAACCCCAGACCACATAAGCCGTAGAAGTCCAAATGTCACCTATCCAGACACCCCAGCAGGCCTTAGTGAGGGCGAGGGGACTCTGAATAGCTGCCCCGGTGCAGCTGCTTTGGGGAAGCGAAGCACACTTCCCCCACTGCTCTTCTAGGCCTTTGCAACCCTAAAAGCGTGGAGGCGTGGCCACAAGGCCCCCCAGACCTAGTCTAGAAGCTTCAGTGATGATTGAAGCCCAAGAGTAGGGATGCTTGGCAGACGCATGACACCACCCATAGACCTCACCCCGTTGGGAGGAATAAGGGGACCACACACGGGACAGTGCAGGGGGCAGGTTCAGAGTGAGGAGGGGAGAGCGGGGTGGTGACAGGGAAGAATTCCCAGAAAAGTGATCAGCAACTCCAGGCTCTTTCATCTCCTGCAGGGAAGGGAGAGCAGGGAAAGGAGAGCTGGTTGTGGGTCCTTCCTCAGCCTTGCCCCAGGCCTGCTCTGGGATCCTGCCTGCATGAGAGGCGGTGTGGAGAGTGAGGGACTCAGGTAGGGTTACTTTTACACACTCGCAGCTTCTTTTGTTGTGGCTCCCAGCTAAATCCCTGGAAAGCAGGAGGATTTGGGGGGTTTGGTTTGGTTTTGATATTGCCAATGTCTAGCCTAGAGCCTGACACATAAAAGTTTATTAAATGATAGAAACACACAATACATGCACCAACACACATAGGGCACATACCAGATGACAAATCCACCCCAGATATGTGCACAGCACACAGGTATGCCACCCCACCCGCCAAGAGCTCACAAATGAATGGGAAAGGCGGATTCCAAACCAGATAATGGTAGTGGGATGTGGTAAGTATAACGAGAGCAATGCTGGCGTATTTAGGAAGTCCAGTGGAGGATGCCCAGCTCAGATGTATGTGCGTGGTGGGGATGGGTAGCGCAGGCAGGGAAAACGTGGGCAAAGGCAGGAGGAGTAAGAGAGCAGTGTTTTAAAGGCGAGCTGGGGTGAGAGGCAGCTAAGAATTGAGAAGAACTGAGTGTTGTTGCCTGACAGGAGATGAGGCTGTGGGGAGGGGCAGGGTCAGTGCCAAGGGGCCTTGTGAAGGAGCTGGGCTCTCGGCCGAGGTCTCCAGGGAGCCTCTGAGAGTTTAAGCAGAAGCAGGACCCAAACAGAAATATCTTTAAGATTTCTCAGATGCGGTAAGGTGGGAACACTGGGAAAGAGATGAGGCAGGGGGGCTAGACACCCAGCATATGTGTACTGGTCCAGGGCCTCTGAGGCCACGGACCCCAACGATACCCTTACTAGACACAGCCAGGCTGGAGAACCAGAGAGTGACTCAGCCCGGGAGCGGGGGAGGGCCTATGGGGCCAATAAACCCGCTCTGGGCTTGGGCCTCTCTTAGGCCCCATCCCAGCTCCCTCGCTGGCCCTGAGGATGATGTGAATTTATAAGCTCCTGCAACTCGAGATCCTCCAGCCTGGAGCCAGCTCCCCACCGCCCCACAAGAGGATGCAACCATCAGCTGTCTCCCCGGTGGGCTCCACGCCTCAGGGCTGCTTTATCACCCCCTCAACCTCTCCCAACCTGCCCCCAGGTCTGGTTTCAGAACCGCAGAGCCAAGTGGCGGAAGCGTGAGCGTTATGGGAAGATCCAGGAGGGGCGGAACCCCTTCACGTCTGCCTATGACATCTCCATGCTGCCCCGAACCGACAGCCATCCCCAGGTGAGACCCCTCACCCCCAGACTCGGGGCCTGGCAATTCCGTGGGGAAGCCAGCAAGAGTGTGAACTGTGGTCCCAGGGAGACCTGGAGCAGCATTAGAGCTCCAAGTGATTGTGGGTAAATCACGTCTTCCTCTGCAAAATGGGCTCTTACCAGTCTCATGAATGGTGTATGCAGAGCAGCTGGTACAAAGGAATCACCAGAGGAAATCTCATTTTGAGATGTAATGGCAGGGGCCTTCTGAGATGCCACTGCAAGTGTTGGGGGCAGGAGGGAGCAGATTCTAGACCTGGACCAAGTGGAGTTTTCTTGTAAAGTTTCTGGAGCCGTAAGGGCAAAGAGAGAGTCCCTAGGTAAGGAGGGCCCCCCAGGCTCCTGATTCATGGGTTTTCTTTTTCTTTCTCTCTTTTCAGCTGCAGAACTCCCTGTGGCCCAGTCCAGGGTCTGGGAGCCCCAGGGGGCCCTGCCTCATGTCTCCAGAGGGCATCCCCTCCCCATGCATGTCTCCATACTCCCACTCTCATGGGAATGTGGCTGGCTTCATGGGGGTACCAGCCTCTCCTGGAGCCCACCCTGGCATCTACTCCATCCATGGCTTTTCCCCTGCCCTAGGGGGCCCCAGCTTTGAGCCCTCCCCGGATGGTGACTATAAGTCTCCAAGCCTCATCTCACTCAGGGTGAAGTCCAAGGAGCCACCCAGCCTGCTGAACTGGACCACATGATCTGTCACGTGGACATGCAGACTGAGCTGCCCAACCCCGTTTCTGTTTCCAGCTGCTCCCACCCCACCCCGGCCTGGATGCCAGAGAGGACACACCTCTGCCTCCAAGGCCCAGATGGTTCCTGGAGGCCCCGGCAGAGCAGCTGGGACCCTCAGGCTTCCGCAGGCAACAAGCTACAGAATCTTTTCTGTTAGAATAAGGTGAGGCTGCCCAGGAGAAAAGGGGCTTCAAAGCAGGTAGGACTCTTCCTACCACACACTGGGTCCCCTCCCCCAAACCCTGGGCCAGAGGGAAAAAGATACTGCCCTGCTTCCTTCAGACTTTGTCTGAGTTTAACTGTCATCCCTCCAGCTGAAACAACTTAACTGGCGCTTCATTCAGGGAATGCAGGAAAATGGGAGGACGAAACAGGTTGAACTGGGCGGCGCTCTCTGCCTCTTAGGGGAAACAGTCTTGTATGACAACCTAGGGCCAGCCTCACTTCCCCCTCCCACCACAAGGGGGCGTGCACCCAGCATCTGGCGCTGACAAGGGCCTGTAAACTGGAGGTCAGTGTAAAAGGTACGCCTTCTCCCCTGCTCAGCCGTCTCTACTCTTGACCTGCAACATGTGCCCCCTCCTGCAACATGCTATGGAGTCCTCTTACCCCTCCAAGGGGCAGAAACTCCACCAGAAATCACCAAATATTTGGATTCTCTTCCATGAGATCAGGCCAGAGCAATGCCATAGAAACCTTAGGCTCCCTTGGTTTACTCATTGGCTGTTGGTAAGAATAAAACAGATTTCCACAGACTCAACCCCTGAGATTCCAAACCCCACTTTTGTAAAGGTACTTTTGTAAAAAATGTGCTGCCCAGCATAATAATAAAGGTGGCAGTATTTTTTATACCAGGTGATTGTGTATCCTCAGGGTTTGGCACTTGGTTGCTCTAAGGCTGGTCTGTGCCCGGGGTCCAAGCAGGGATCCTAGAGGCTAGGGGAAGATGGGCCTGCGGCCAGCCCTCAATGTGTGCCACGCCTGGCTCTGTCACCTGCTCGGGGTCTCTGTGGCTTCGGCTGGTACAAGGAGGAAGGGGGAAAAGCCCGGCTCTAGGGTTGCTGGGCTCATCTGGAAGGGAAAATGTGGCATGGGAAGGGGAGTGAGAGCGCTGAAATAAGATTGTGGCTGAACGGACACTGGAGGGGAAATGGAACGGAAGTCCGGGGAGCCCACCGAGGGTTCTGAGCTCCCCTAGGCTGGGACCCCAGAGTAGTGGGGGTGTGCCCATTCCCTGCTCCCAGACGCCCAAGAGCATGTCTGAGCTGTAGGGCAGAGACGAAAGCCAGGACTCTTTCTTGTGGTTTGAGAGTATTACCCATTCTATCCTTCATCCCCGCTTTCTGCCTTATCTTCCTGGAAGGCAGGAAAAAAGCAGGCCTGGCCCTCCCACCCTCCCAGTAAACACAACCACATTGCTCAGAGCAGCTCAGCCTCAGCTAGCAGCCCAGCTCCCCCGACCCCGGGCCTCCTCTCCTCCAGGCCCAGAGAAACCCAAGCACACAAAGATTCCAGTGGCCAAGGCCGTGCTTCTTCCCAAGGAGAGTGCAAATCCATCAGATCGGATTTGCCAGCCAAGACAGTTACTGTGACAAGGCTCAAGCATCACCCAGAGGAAACCAGTGTCCTCCTTCTCTTCCCTTCCCTTCATCTGAGGGCCTGGCTTCTGAGGTCCAGGTGCGAGCCCCATGTGCATCAGGAGGGGAAGAGTCTGGGCAGTAAGGAGAGGCAGCCCCAGCTACTGCTGATGAACAGAACCACCTTCGCCCAGCTGGGCAATAATGAACTGGGGTACAAATCCACCCTTCTAATTCCAGGGCTAAGAGAACTGCACTAGAAGTTTCTTCACCCAAGGAGTGGCCAGCAAAATTTTGGACTTTTTGTCTCACAAAAGTTAAGAGAGATGCAGAGAGAAAGATTAGTTTGTTCTACAAATACTGAGTGCCCACTCGTGCTAGGTATTGTGCTGGGTGCCAGAGACAGAGTGATGGTCAAGAAAAACCATGATTCCCTCTCTCACGGCTTAGAAAGAGGGAAGAGGAAAGAATCTGTGAAAGCAAAGGAAGCAGAAGTGGGGAAGAGACAGGCAAGAGAAGAAACTAAAGTTGAGTCAGAGATCAATGCAGCAACGGCAGGAGAGGCAGGCAGAGGCCAGAGCGGGCCCTGTGCGGGAGGGAGGCCCTGGTGGGGGAGGGCACAGGGAGGCCAGAGACCAGCTACTGGCTCCCATCCAGGGGCATCTGCCCACAGCTCATATTTTTCTGTCTAGTGACAGCTAAATGAAGAGAAAGCTAACTTTACAACCGCCCACTTCACACATAATGAATATGAATGGGCATCCCGGAGCCTGTTCCCTAGGATTATCTGTGAGTTGACGGGTTCTCCCACTGACTGGGCCATCCCAGCCAGCCTGTCCCCTGGCTGGGACTCAGGCAGCCCTTCCACCTGCTTCCCATTAGCCGTCCTTCCATCTTCCCCTCCTCCTCCACACCCTAGGCGTCTCACCCCTAAGACAGCCCCCAGGTCTCCAGACGCCCCTGCCCCCATGGCCTCACTCCAGAGGCAACCTCAGCCCTCAGCCTAGGCCCGATGTTTTCCCAAGGCCAGGCTGGGGCTCTGGTCGGCCCCTCTGAAAAAGAAAAGGGAAGTGGCCCCACTTGGAATCTCAACCTAAGAGAGGTGCTAGGCTCGGTCTCCCTTTGCTAAGGTTCCTCTCTGCTCCTGTGAGGCCCACCCAGAGAAGCCCTAAATCTTGGTCCTGGCAGGGGCCCGGACACCAGGCCCGGAGAGGAGGGCCCTAGCCAGATCGCCCTTCAGTCCCAGCTTCTAGCCTCAGTCCAGCATCAGGAAATGCTTCTCATTAGAGGAATTCAGTTTTCATGCCCGGCCTCCCCCAGTCCTTTACACATCAACCTGAATTACAACCCCTAAGTGCAGACCCTCTGCAGTCACAGACAGGAACAGAGCCCAGTATCCCCAGGAACTGGGCATTTCCTGTATCCGGCAGAGGGAGAACATACCTCACCCCTGCTCCAGCCTTGGCCACGGGCTCATCCCAGCATGAGCACAAAGCGTCCGCTCTTGGAGCCCTTGTTCCTGATGCTGGAGCCCCCTTGCCTTGCCCTCAACAACTGCAGCCTCCCCTCGCCTTGTCCCTTCTCCAGTAGGTGGGCACCAGCTGGGAGCAATGGGTCCTGTGGAGCCCTGAAGATGTCTGTCTCAGTACCTAGCACACTACTGCTCTTACTTGCTTTTATGGCCAGCTCTCCATCAACTGTGAGCTTGTCAAGGAAAGTAAGAGTGTGGTGTCCTATTCACCTGGACACTCAGGGCACCCAGAACGGGGACCGCCAGAACAGGCCTCCAAGGTATGATGGCAGGGCTGATGCTCCAGAGGTACTTCTGTACAAAGACCAGGCTTCAAACAGCCAGTCTGCCCAGAGCACACTCTGTGGCCATGGTAAGGCAGCTCCCCTCCTGGGCCAGCCCCTGGGCCCACAGATGCGGGATCCACCTGCCCAACCTTTACAGCCCTTGCTGCTTTGATATTCTGTGTTCTTTCTGCACAGAGTTATATAGAGATATTTACAGACATTTGCAAACCAAGAGAGGAAATGGCACCTCTAGTTAAGGTGAAGCCTCAGAGAAGCTTCAGAGGAGAGATCTGGGGAAATCAAAAAATGGGAAGGAGGTCAAAGCCTCAGCCAGACGGCTTCAGTAAACCAGGCTGTGTGGTCAAGCAAGAACGTGAAATTCCAACTTACTCAAATTGCCACCTCAAGATGCATACTTCCTATTGACCCTAGTAAGAAACAGCAGAGAATCCACTGTGCACACATAAATTGTGTCAAAGTCCCTTGTCCTGTGCAAGTTACTTTGTGGCAAAGGCCAATCACAGGGACTTCCCATCTCCTAGGCCGTGTGACTTACATACGGACGCACTGCTGGCTCCTACCGGCTGCTCATAATCACACTGGCGCATAAAGGCCTGTCCTAGAAGCCCAGCTCAGGGCCTGGACTGAGGCTCAGTGGACACGTACTGAACGGAAGAGCCAACAAAGGGGAGATTTCCCCCAGAATACGTTTCTTTTATTATTCAAGACCCCTTGGAGACTTAAAATCCCCTACAGGTGGCCTACAGGTAAGATAAGGGAACTTGAAGCAATTCCTAAAAGGGAACACTCCTTTCCTCAGCATCAGAATGGTAAGATCCTCAGAAGCAGAGCGTCAAGATGGAGCAAGGTGGAGGCAGACACGTCCGGGGATCTGAAGGCCAGATGCAGGCTCCAGAAGCCTCAGACTGACACCGACCACAAAGGTGTTTGCTTCTCCCTCAGCCACGCGGGCCCCTGGGCCTCCCGACACTCCCTTTCCTGGGACTCCTGACGGTCTGCTTCCCCAGGCTCTGGGCACTTAAGCTTCCTCTCAGTTCCCATCTACCCCAGTGAGAGTCCAGCACAGTCGAGCCCCTCTCTGACCTGCCCCTCCCTCCCTAATACTGATACCAGCTCAGGGGTGTGATCCAGAGAAGCCTGGGGTGCCTACTGTAATACCTCTAACCCAGGGGTGCAGACAACTTACAGCTCCAGCAACCCAGAGCCCTGGGGCTGGGCGCCCTGGAGCAAAACCAGACTGATGTGGGGAAAGAACACTTGGGATAAGTGCCAACTCCCCCCCCTTCCCCCTCAGATGAGAAAGGTGGGCAGCTTGGCAGGGACAAGGGGGTGACCTATCAATGCTGGCAAGAAAACTCTCTTTCTAGACCTGGAGGAGATATTCAGGGGCCATATTTCCTGCAGACAAGGCAATGGGCATTGTTTTTGCTTCCTTTTAATGTAAACAGAATACACAAACACATTAAAAACCCCAATATGACACAAGAGAACACACACAGATTCATATATATTTACAGACCCTTGCACACCAAGAAAAAAAAAAATGGCACCTCTGGTTAAGGGAAGCTTCTCTTCCTGTCCCAACCCCGTCCAAAACCAAACTGCTGAGGCAGCTGCAGGAGCCTCTGCAATTGCTTCTAGATGAAACTTAGCAAGAGGCTGGAATGACATCAGAAAGCCCCCAAAGCAAAACCAAGATGCTGACTTTCTGGCCTGGCTCTAATCGTAAGCCCTCCTCTTTGGCAAGCTGACATGCCAAGGATTTGTGTCTCAGGAAGAGTCAGCGTGACCCCTGAAATTCAGATGCAGCGGGTTCCCAGCCCATCCCAGGTTTTCCCAGCCTTGGGTGGAATGACAAATGAGCTGCAACCAACTATGTCCAAGAGAGGAGGGCGCGGAGGAGTGAAGGAAGAGAGGATCCCAAGCAGAGAGATGACCACTCACGAGCAGGACGCTGGGAATCAATGAGAGGTCAGATGCAGACTCCCCAGCCAACCCAGCACTGGCTGGGAAGGGCACAGTGGGGCTGTGCTGCCACCTGGAGGGGGATGGGAGCACTGCAGCAAGGAACCAGGACAGCCCCTGGGGTACCTGGAGATCACCCCTTCTTTCATTTTCAGTCTCTTGCCCAGGAGCCTCACTGCAGCAGCTCCTCCCAGGAAATGGGCTTGGAGAAGACCTCCCTTTCTAACCAGAGGTCGTAGTTCATCTGGAAGTCCTCAGGGAGGTCCACCCGCTGGCCCAGGACACTTTGCAGGCAGTTGTCCACAGGCAGGAAGTCGGGGTTGCTGTGGACCCGGTCGTACCGCCTGGCGTTGAAGCGCTCGATGTTGGCACGAAGGGCACACTCCTCTGCCTGGAAGTCCCAAGGCCGGGCATCAAGATCTAGGACAAAGCAGGAAGCCATGGTTAGGAGGCAAGCCCTTGTGGCAGCTCCCCTGGGGCTCACCGCAGCTTAGGGCCACGCCAGCCTGGGCTTGGAATGTTGACTGTCAACCAGGAGCGGGAAACCTCCGAGCCCCATCCTCGGGAAAACTGACAGGACTTCTTTCCTAGACACACAGGTAAGTCAGGTCAAAGGCAAAAAGCCAGAGCTACGGAGAAAGAGGCTACACTGCAGTTTATGTGGATCCAGTGAGGGAAAGCCAGGGGTACAACGTGCTTCTCTCAAAGTCACGCTCTCCCTGGCTCTCTGGGATCAGAGGCAGGAACGTGCAGATCCCCTCCTCTGCTTGTTCTCTCAATTCCCTGACCAGGTGCTGTGGGCCACCTTGGCTCTGCACAAATTCAGGGCGTTGGGAGTGCAGATACAGCCATATGGTCCTGGTGCTGTGGCCGGGAATCGTAAGGGTGCGGGTAGCTCAGGGGACACCGGGAAGACCCACTCTGCCAGGGAGGCCAAGGTGCGGAGGGGAGGAACACATGCAGATGCAGAACGATTAGGGGGTACGGGGAGGTGCGCTGCCGGGAGAGGGTACAAACTGGGGGAAAGCATGGCCAATGTGCACTGACTGTGCCCAGAGCCCTATAGGTGTGATGGAAGCTGGGCTGAGGGGAAGCTGGAACAGATTAGATGAGGACACGGAGGGACAAAGTGTGGGCCTTAAATACGTTAAGAGTTTGGCACTAATTCTTAGGGAAATCAGAAGCCAATGAAGGATTTTACTCAGGGAGGTACCACCACTGGATCTGTATTTTAAAAAGATCACTAGAGCCAAGTCTGAGGCACTGATGGAGAGAAAGGAACTGGCAGGGAATCCATCAGGAGCTGTGAGAATTTCAGTGACCAGAACCACGGCAGCTGCAGCGGGGAGAGAGGACGAGAGGACAGAGAAAGTCTTGTGACCATTTCTGGAAAAGGAAAGGGGAGGCTCAGAGAGGAATGGGTATGATCACAGATGCCAAGCCTGGCAGCTTCTCCAAGTCCTTCCCAGGGCTCCCATCCTGACGCTACAGAAGCAGGAGCTGGGCTCTTCCAGGTTACTCAGGGAAGCTTAGAGGGAAAGCTGTCACCTCCCCGCGCCCCTCCACCCCCGCCCCGCCTCGCCTCGTGGGGAGCCTCACCGTTGCCGTAAGCCCAGTCGTCGTTCAGCCGATGCCGCACCTTCTGGTAGATGGCAGACATCGTCTTCATGTTGCTCTTTCGCCACTGCCGCCCCAGATACTTGGTCTGCACCTTGAGCAGCTTCAGCACATAGAGCTGCATCATGGCCTGTTTCACCTTCAGGGCCCGCTTCAAGATGGGGGCTGACTTGAACACCACCAGCATCTGGGAAGGGTTAAAAGGGAGGCCCACGTTGAGGGCAGAAATAAATACCTGCACCACCACCATGCTGCTATCCCTTCTGGGGTTAGGGGCAGGGTGACCAACTGCTGCAGTTTCCCCCAGACTGAAGGGTTTCCTGGGACTTGGGACACTTCCACTGCTGAAACCAGGAAAGTCCCAGGCAAAGCTGGATGGTTGGTCATCCTAATTATGGGTCATTCTGGAATCTGAAGAAAGCTATGAATTCCTTCACCAGAAATATCCCTATGTGCACATATACCCAATTTCAGAGGATTCATGGACCTCCCCGCCCCAAAGGGATCCACAGACTCAGGGTTAAGGAGACTCTCAGAACCTTGGTGGAGAACCAGCGGAGATTAAGAGGATACAGAAAATTCCTTCTATATATGTAGATTTGTTTCAGCACATGACCGAGCCTCTTCCAGCTTCCAGTTCAACTCATCAAGGCACCAGAGATCAGCCCTTAAAATGCAAGGATGTGGCTATAGGAAAGTTAGGTGGGGACCCCTGCCCCCTAACGTGAAGGGACCGGACAGCAGGTGGCATGCTGCTTTGAGCTCCAAGATTCATGCCTGCTGACTGCGCTGACTCACCATCGTCCTCGAATGCTTCCATTTTGTCAGCTTGTTCAAGATCCGAAGCAGATTAATACAGGAAAAGAGGTTCCTCCAGCAAAACTGGTTATTGTCACCTGCTTCCTACAGGGAAAACCCAGGAACAATCATCTCTTGCACAGCTGCAGGTGCTCCGCAGTTTCCAAGGCCCTCCCCTCTGTGACGTCAGCACAGCTCAGTCTCTCCACACGTGTACCAGGAACCCTCTCCTCCCCTCAGCCCAGGGGGACGTCCATCCCAGAAGCTGGCAGAGGGTAAGGGGTGCTCCCTAGAATTTTCCTGCAGGAAACATGGAGCATGATATTGGGGGCTGTGGCTCCCTCGGAGCTGTGGCCCCAGAGAGCTCCAGTGTGGGGAGAGGGAAACAACTCAACCAGGTGAGCTCTGGGTCGGCAGCACCTGAAGACCACACTTCTGAAACAAGCCCTAAATCCAAATCTTCCCACTCTGCAGGGTCCGCCCCTCAGCCCTTCTATGCAATTACAGTGCTTCAAAAGCCCGGCACTTAACAGCGACCGCACCTGTGAAGAACCTGTACCCCTGTGAGGGGGAGGCAGGCTCTCCACCACAACCCTCACACCAAAGGGACCGCCGGGGAAGAGGCTAGTTACTCACCAGACTCTCGGCAGTCAGCTCCGGCAGCTCGTGCACCACGCACTGAGGGTAGTCTAGGACAGAGATGCTGCACAGGGCAAGAGAGCCCAGGCACCCGCCCTGAGCGAGGGCTGGAGTCTGGAGGAGCAGCTGCTGGCTCCTGGCCTCCCTCCCTCACTTGTGGGAGCAGAAGCAGTAATCGGCCTTGTCCGCACCACCCCACTTTCCCCAGCTCTAAGACGGGGAAATACCTGCTACGAGTGAACTTGTAAGATCCCTCTGTAGCCAGAGACAAGCTCGTAATCTTGTAAGGGGTGGAGAGAGCACATTATCCCTCACAGCAATAAATCTGGAGCGGGGGGCGGACTTCTCAAGGCAATTAATTTATGCCAAGCCGCCACTGGAGACTGTGTCTGGCTAACAGCTCAGCTTGTGGTGTTATCACGCTGATGAGCCGTCAATGTCAAGTACAGCTGGCGCCAGGTGATGGCGTAGGGACAAGACATTATAGTGCACGGGGCCAAACTCCTTTGAGAGCAAGCGCCCAGCCAGTCCCCTCAAAAAAAAAGGGCACAGAAGGGCAGTATTGGAGCCCAGGATGAGAACCCTGCCATCCAGGCACAGACAGACTGAGTCACCTGTCACTAGACTAGCTAGACTCAGGTTTGACAAACTGGCGCTCTCTATAGGCAGGCACCATGTCTCATTCATCTTTGGGTCCTGATGCCTGGCAGAGCACTGGCTTGTGGGTGCTGAACGGACTCAGTGGGAGAGGCCAGCTGGGAGCCCTGCCATCTGGCCATACCCACCCCTTCCTGATCCCTGGTCCTTATCACCTGTTCTTGGCAGTGATGTAAGACATAATGTTTTGATTGAAGAATTTCAGGATCAAAGGGATGCAGTTGGCAAACACCAGGTGCTGTGCCATATACTCAAACTGCAAGCAACAGGAAGAAATATAAGCATGCCCGTGGGACCTCACCCTCCTTCCTCCGGTGATAAAAGGCCTTGGCTGGAGGACTGTGTCTTAGAACATTCATGCAGAGCTCAAGGAGGTTTGAAGGCCAAGGCCTCTGTTCTTTGGGGCTAGAGGAGCAGCACTGCCTGAGGCCCTGGCCCAGTGGACAGAAGGAAGGGGCTGCAGGTACCTGGTAGACGTGGTTCAACTTAAAGTGCTTGAGCAGCAGCAGCAGGACCGCAGAAATGGCCTTAACAATGACCTCTTTGTGGCGGTTCACATCCACTCCCAGCTTCATGCTCTGCAACACTGTGGTGCTAGAAGCACAATCACCCGGGTGGGCCCCCAGCAGGTGCAGCACCCTCCTCTCTGGTGGTCCCAGGAGAGATGGGATTCCTGAGCCTTCTCTGGGCGAAGCTCCCACCTCACCCCCACCCTACGGACATCTCAGAGGTTACGCCCAGCTCCACCCACCCACCTAACAAGCAATCTAGCTCAGCATAATTGATTTCTTCCTTGTGATGCCCCAAACACATTCTTAGCCTATTTCTTTGCTTTTCCTCCAAAACTGAACTTCTCATCTCAAGATCTCCCCTAAGCTTCTGCCACCATATGAACCTGTGCTCCTCAGAGTGTGTTCTGTGGAATACCAGTATATTGAGATGTTTCATATTATGGGGGAAAGGGGTTTTGGAGTCAGATCAATTTAGGAAGAATTTACTTAAATCAGTTTCTTGCAAATTTAGGAGCTCTCACTATAAATCTTTATAAGAGGAGATCAATATTTGACCGTGGAGGCTTTTTCCCAAGGACCATCACGATGGCCTGGTGCTCCATGACATTCCCTTTGGTGTTAGCCAACGCTGCCTCCTCCCTCACTTGGCTGTCACCACCAGACGCAAGGGGTCCACCCACCAGGGAACTGGCCTCAGAGCTGGGTGGTACTGGTAGGCAGGCAGGAGATCAAGTGCCCAGGTCCTTCTCAAAGCACAAAGTGATCTTAGTTCGTACTCTCACATCAAAAAGATGAGGTCAGTGCCCCAGGGAGGAAGAACCCCTAAGGACTTTACTATCACCCTGAGACATTCAAAAATATTCTGCATGCCAGTTCACTGGCAAATAGGAAAGAATCTACACGCAGCTCAGGTCCAGCTGTTGGCTGATTTTTGTCCAGAAGCTAAAACTGTACGTCCTGGATGTCCCAATCACATAGCTTTCAAAGGAGCCTTTGGGGAAATGTCAAACACAGTCCGATTCATTTTACAGAGGAGGAAGTGACTTTCACCAATTTACTCAGATATTCACTCAGTGGCAGAGTCTACACTAGAATCCAGGCCAGCCAAATTAGCCACCTCCCCAAGCAGTAAAACTGAATATTTCACCCAGTACGTTTTCTTTCTTCTGAGCCAGGAATACCCTAAACTTAATCTGCAGAGAAGCTGAGCCAAAACAACAGCAGCGGCAGCAACAACAAAAACAAAGAATGACAACAGCAAACAACCTAGCAAACAGTGGGACCAAAAAGCAAACACTTCCCCTTTCGCCTCTACCCTTCTGCCCCTGACCTGCTCCATTCACAGGAGCCATACACACTCAATACTCAAGACTTGATACTCACGGCATCTCCTCAGGCAGGACATCTGCTAGGATGTTGATTGAGTCCGTTTTGGCCTTTGAGGTGGGAGCTGCGGCCAGCAGGATCTTCAGCAGCGCAATCTGGGGAGGAGCAGACTGTTCAGACGGTGTGGATGAGAGGGGCCAGGGGCAGCACTAGGCCCTGAGAGGTGGTCCTTCTGGAGGTGCTCAGGCAGCAGGAGGAGGGGTTAAAGGACATTGGCGGGCATGCTCTCAAGGCCAGTGTTGTCGGGAGGGGACCCCATGGCAGGTAGAACACTCAGGAGAAGTGCACTCACCATGTACTGCGGCAGGCTGGGGAGCAAGCCTTGATAGAGGGTTTCTGCAGGGACTTGCTCGACTTCCTCTTCTCCCTTTCAACAAAATGGGTAATAGGTACAAATACAAAGCCCGGTCCTGACGATGCTCTCCTGAGCCAGCTTGCTGGCTGGCTGGAGGAGAATCTGTAAGTATGGATGTAAATGATGATAATGATAGCAAACCTTGAATGATACAACATACCAAACACTTTACTTGTAAAAACACATTTAATCCTTACTACAACTCTATGGAGAAGGTACTATTGTCATTCCCATTTAACAGGCTAGGAAACGAAAGCAGAAGGAGAGCCAGTACCTTGCCTAGGTCGCTACCCACTAAATGGATTCAGAGGAAGGTGGCCGGCCCAGAGTCTGTGCTCTTAAGCCCTGGACCTGACACTCGCCAGCCCTGCAGCGGGAGCCAGACTGGGAGCTTTTTGAGGGCAGGCCTGGGGCATTTTGCGGTCTAGGCCCAGCACAGTGCTGGGAACAGCTGGGATCCTACGGACTGAGGAAGGCCTCCAACTCACCCCTGAGAGAGGAGAGCGAAGGTACTCCTCCTCCATCTGCGCCTGGACCTCTGCAATCGACGTGTACTTGTGCTGGAGAGAGAGGGAACGAGGCGCCAGGGAAAACACCCCTCATTCTCTGGCCAAATGCCCACACCTGGCAAAGACCCCACACAATTTTCCTCAAACACCATCTTCTCAAAGAGCGCTAAGTCACCATACAGATCCCGAACTAAAATCCCAAACCTGAAGTATTTTTCTAAGTGGGCACCTACCTCTTAAAACCAGTGTAAAAAAGCACACAATAGATCAGGAAAAAAGCAAATTAAAGAAGAAAAGGGGTTTTGCAGATAGTGACAATGACAGGAGGAAAACAAAAGCAGAATCAAGCACCCAAGTACTCAGAATCAAGGACTCAAATGCTCAGAAAGCCCCTGCATGAAGCCCACTTGGTACCACAAATTTCAAAAACATATAAACATTTACATTCCAGACATGCTATTAGGGGCCACACCTCTTCCCCACTCGTGCTGCTTCCTCCCAGGTGGAGGGACACGAGTGCACAGAGCACTCCTGGCCCCTCCCCGCCCCTCCCCCCCCACTCACTCCTCCCCTCCCGGGCTGGCCAATACGGGAGGAGGAACAGGACAGTCTCAGCCCCTCTTTCTCTTCTCTCTTCAGAAAAAAGAAAAGCCTGTAAACTCTTCTGCTCCTTGACCAGGCTCAGCAGGGTTCTAGCACTGCCTGGTCTGGGTAGGCGAGTCTGCCTAACTCTGGAAGTGAGGTATCCGGACACCTATTGTTGTGTTCTCATGCCTCATTCTCCAATCACTCCATGGGCAATAAAGCTGGCATTTCAATCTCCCTCTGCCTACTCCCCTAACTCAACTGCCTTAGAACTTGGGCAAGGAAAAGGCAGGCTACTTACTAAGCCCCTTAAAACCCAACTGTCAGGTAATATAATCTTTCACGAACCCCCAGTAAGTGCCCCAAACAAAACCTCAGTTAAAATAAGTAAAACGCATGAAAAACTGTTTTAAAGGATGCCGCCACTGTCCACCTATTCCTCCACCCCCAGTTCCCTCAGGCAGACAGAAGTCTAAAAAGGCTTCTCCCAAAGGGCTGGTCTCACTTTACTCACTTGGGACCAACCTAGGCCAAAAGCTCACCCAAAGCCACCTACCTGCTTCAGAGTCTTGATGCTTTCGTGGATTGGCCTGGGCAGCCCCACCACTGTGTTTGTGTCACTGGAGAATAACAGAGGCCCTGTGTTAGGCCTGGGTCCCCACACACCAAAGGCTGGGAGGGTGACCCCACTACCTTTCTTTAAAAGGAACTCGGATCACACTCACCTGCCCAGAGTGTAACCGATGAACTTGCTGCGGCTGGACTCGAGGAACACCTCGATGTCTTTCTCTCTGCCAAAGGAAAAGACTGCAGCTTTCTAAATGTTATCTCAAGTCATCATGGTTAACAAAACACAGAATGTCCAGAAACTGTGAAGCCAAAAGAAAAAGTCTCCCACAATTGTTTTTCTTTTTGGAAAAAAGAAAATAAAAAAACAAAGAACTGAAATCTTCAGACTATTTTAAGGTCCTTCATAATGCTGTTGGATCAATAATCTAAAAATGTGTAACTAGTTTATTCATAAGATTAAGGTGATACATCAAACTTAAAAGCATACTTTATTCAGATATTAATAACAAGTTTGTCACAACAGAATTTCTCAGATATTCACAATTTTTACAATTAGAGCTGTAAGCTACTGATTTTTTCATATGAGTCATACTGTCCTGTCTCAATCAGGCTAGCTTGCATTTCCTGATGACTTGTTTTGTATTCCCATCACAGATCACCGAAAACTGGGGCTTTAGCCTGGATCAAGAAAATGACCCCTATATCTTCTCACGTTTATCTATTTCTTAAGTTGGTGCCCTTTCAAACAGATACCATTTATATACATCCAGGAACCTTGACATCCACTGACTCACGCACATATATCTCAAACATCTTAATTATGGTTCTAAAGAACCTAGCAAACCTAGGTTCATCTATAATATTCTGTCAAAAATCATATACAGGGCTTCCCTGGCGGCGCAGTGGTTGAGAGTCCGCCTGCCGATGCAGGGGACACGGGTTCGTGCCCCGGTCCGGGAGGATCCCACATGCCGCAGAGCAGCTAGGCCTGTGAGCCATGGCCGCTGAGCCTGCGCGTCCGGAGCCTGTGCTCCGCAACAGGAGAGGCCACAGCAGTGAGAGGCCCGCGTACCGCAAAAAAAATCATATACAACCCCAGGGTGGGTGGAGATGGGTTCACTTAAATGTCCTTGTTTTAATTTTTTCCCGCTCCCTTTCACTAGTATCATGTCCAACCAAGAGCTAACCCACGTTACTGACTCAAGAGCCATATAAGGGCCTCTCTGTGCAAGGCCAGCACCCTGACGCCCCCAGCGCCAGCACTGGGCACTTTAAGAGAGGCTCATCGCAGAGCCAAGGCCAGCATGGCCCTGCACAGGACCTCACGTGACAACTCAGGCCCGGTGCCAGGCGTGGGGATGTGACAACACTGGTTTCAGGAGCACAGAGTGTTGCGGAAGTCTGAGACTCACCTGACCTTGGGAGCCCACGGGAGTCCCTTTGGGCAGGTAAGCCTGTCAGTCTGGGGGTGCTGCAGTGGGGGAGGCATCACCTCATCCCGCTCAAGGGGGAATGTCTCCCCCTCCAGACTGCTGTCGTCATCGTTCTCCTCTTCCTCCTCTCGAGAGTCATCAGCCTTGTAGGGATCCCGCTCGTTGAAGGCATCCAAGTTGTCCTGCTTTATCAGAGCCTGAGAGCAGAGGGACGGGAGAGCAGACAAGTGCCAACTGACGAACTGGATAAAAAGGGGCATGGAGGCTAAAGAAGTGATCACACAGAAAGGTGGTAGGAAGAGAGCCAGGAGCAGTGGAAAAACCTGAGAGGAAGTCAAGGTTGGCCCCAAGTGACAAATCAGTCCTTGCCCAAGTCCCTCACAAGTGCCACATTCTGAGTGCCCACTATAAACTGGGCCCTGGGCTGGGGACACAGTGTCCCTGCCCTAAAGGCATTCATTCTGACTTGCTGATCAGGGGAGACTTCAACAACCGTCCAACAACCTGGGGCTCATCCAGTGACTATGCCACTGCACCCGTGCACCTTGAGAACTCTCAGGAGTCGTAGGGACCTTGTCGCCCTCACCTTGTGCTCCCGACGGCCCCGTTTCTGCTGCTGCTCGATCAGGTCAGAGGCAGACGCTGGGGGAGAGGCGGCCCTCATGTTGCGGATGACTTTGATGCTGTCCTCAGGTAGCGGGGGGAGGCCCAGGATGGCACGCTTCTCGGCCTTCATGCTCTGCAGCTCCTCAAAGCCGCCCAGCGTGCACTGTGTCACAGACAGGCGCAGAGCCGGGAAGACAAGTCCGTAAGCGGGTCCCTGTCTGTGTCAAGCTCAAAAGCATCTGGGACACCGTGACCCATATCTTTAGAGACCCACACAACCTCCCAACAAGGGACTGAATGCACCCCGAGGAGAAACGAGCGACATCAACATGGGAGAGGAGCACAGGGGCAAGGAGTGGAGATGCGCAGGCTGACTGAGCCTAGTGCAGAAGGCACGCCTAGCTCTGTGTGTACAACAGACTCCTCGAGTGACACAAAGGCCACCTGAAGAGCTTAACCCTTCAAGTTCCTAGAAAAGTAGGTGAGACTCAAATGCTTCAAAAGCTGTACATGCCAGTCTTTCAAAGTCAAATTGGGAATACACTGTTGGATGTTCAAGTTAAAAAACAAACTAACAAACAAAAAACCCACCTTCATCTAAACATCCCCCTAGAAGCAAACCTCAGCAGTGTTCAGCAACTTTAGGCTGCTCAGTTTCACTGTTTCTGAGCAATTCGGCTTTCCTCTCTGGCTTCAGTGAGGCTTCGTGGGGGATCAACAAGCTTATCTGGCCAACGTCAAATGTGTAGAGCACTCTAAAGAGGCCTAACCTCACTGAGCCCTGGCTCCGCAGAGCTGGCCCACTCTGAAAGAGGGGAAGGTGAGTCCCAGCAAGAGCAGGAGTCCAGACCCCAGCTCCGCTGTCTCCCCAGGTCGCTCCTCCTGGAGGGAAGGGCTCCTGGTTTGGCCTGGGCCTGGCTGCTGACAGCGGCTCCCAAGCCAAGGGTGCTAGCCAGCCCACTCTCCTGGACCCACCCCTTCACTAGCTAGAGAAAGAGTCAGCTTTCACACCATACCCTGAGGAAAATGTAGGCACAGGACTCACTCTTTCTTCTTTCAAGTGACATCTGACTGAGGGGGCCCCAATTACACCAGCTCTAATTTTGCCTCAAATCACTTTGCAAACTCCAGGTTCAAGAGCAGCTTGCCTGGAGAGACGTGTCCTATGACTGCAGAAAACAGCTTCCAGGAACCAGGGAGCCAACGGTCTATTCTGATTCAAAGGCCAAGTCCTCTTTGGCTGCAGTGAGGCCAAAGTGACACTTTTTTTGCCATCACCTTTCAGGAATCTTCTTTCAGAACTTTTTTTTTAATCAAAGCAGTTATATATTCATATAATTCAATACTCAAAAGGATATACAGTGAAAACTCTCCCTCCTGCCCTGTCCCCTAGCACGGGAATTCCCCTTCAAGGACGCACTCACCAACACTGTCTTCCAGAGCAGCAAGAGAACCTTCTTCATGGGGAAGTGAGGGGCATGGCCACTGCAAAATTTGGTCACCATCCCAAATAGCATGATGGCAAATGGCTCGCTGTTGTACAGAGGGGAACCTGGGGTACACAAAGGTATCAGGGCCACAGGCAGGAACAGGACCCTCCCAAAGCCCTCCAGCCTCAATTCCCAGGCAGGGCCTTGAGCCAGAATCCCCAGAGTCCTACCCAGCTCAGCCCTGAAGGTCTGTCGCATTGTCCTCCATTCGGCCTTATCACCCTCACATTCCTGGTGAACGGTCTCCACAATCAGGTACATGATGTTTAGCAAGACCCTGGCGACAAAAGCCAGCTATAATGAAGCAGGATGGGGGGGTCAAGGGAGCACCCCCTGGCTTCCTCACATCCCACACGACACGAGAAAGGCCTGCGCACCAAGGCTGGCTGGGGGGGAGGGCTGTAATGTAGAAAAAACTAAAAGAGTCCCACATTGCACCTTGCGGTGGGTGCTTCCTTCTCTGTCTCTGGTGCTAAGGTTGGGACCAGATCGTCTTCCGTTTCTAGCAAAGTGCTTGCTCAAAGCAGGTGCTTAATAAGTGGCTGCTGAATGGATGGATATGAACAAGAACGGCCAAAAGCATTTACTACCCTGAGCTTCCCGGAATGAGAAAAACACAGAGGCAGGTGTGAGCTATGGAAGCCCGTGTTGGATCAGACAAAGCAGTGGATGATCAAGGTGAGAGCAAGGAAGTGTTCACCATGATGGAGGGGAAATCAGGAGCAAGCAGGGCGATGGCCAGGGACCGTAACTACAGTGGGGAACACCACCAGTATCTATCTGAAAACTTCCAAATTCACAAAAAGAGTCAGATGCTAATCCGTACAAAAATGGGAAGGTGTTCTTGTTCTTTGGCAGTTGCTATTACTTCCGGCACAGCCAGGAAACGTCATGAAGTTGTCAGGACTAACCCCACACAGACAGGCATCAAGCTGTGCATGGAAAGGCAGAAGCGGAAGGAGCCACCTCATGTGCTTTGTCCAAATACAAAATGCCACCCCACCGAGTTTCCCAGCAGCAGTGTGGGCAGGAGGCCACATTTCACTGTGGCTCTGTTAAGCATCTTCACCCTGGATTTCCACTGGGAGTCTCAACCCAGGGCCCCACCTAGGGAGAGCCCTCAGTAGGGCCTACCGATCACACTGAGTCCATCACGCCTGCAAATTAGAGGGTGAGCACACACAGCGAGGAAACCCAAAGGTGCCCGCCCATGCCCTGCCCTGCCCTCGTTCTCCAGCTAGAGCTCAGGGAGTCCGGGCTTGCTGCTCGCCTCACCTCAGGTCCGTGCTATCAGCCAGGGAGATGGCCGGCTTCCTCACCGCACTGCTGCAGGCAGCACTGTTGCTGCAGGAGAGATGCGAGAGTCAGTGCCTTCCCCCAGGAAGGAAGAGAAATGGCTCCCCCAACAAGTGTCGCCCAACAGGGGGATAAAACCCTATGCTATGCGCTTAGATTGCAAAAGAACCCACAGGACCCAGTGGATAAGGACTCAAGCCCAAGACCAGACTGCCAAGGTTTGAATCTTGGCTCTAACACTTACTAGTTATGTGCCCCTGGGCACTCAACTTCTCGGTGCCATAGTTTCCTCATCTGCAAAATGGGGACGGTAATAGCAGCTAACTCATTAACATGAATTAGTACATGTAGTGTCCTAAGAACAATGCCTGGGACATATAAGCACGCAATGAGTGCTTTTATTATTGATGGTGTTTTCCTCAGATGAGCAGCAGCTGACCTGTCCACCAAGCAAAGGACTAGTGGAGACACAGGCTACAGCAGGCTTTGTTTGAGCCCATGTGTCAGACTTGTGCCTGGCTTCCTGCTGCGGGGAAACCTGTGGTGCAAACACAATGGAGTCTGAAGGTTCAAAATGAGAAGGCTTTTTATTTTTCTGAGGGGCACTGTGGGCCTGGGCAGGAGCTGCAGTGTCTGGCGAGCTCTCTGGTGTTAGCGGGCTGCGAGGCCCCTCACTGGTCTTCAACGTTTGGGTGAGCATCTCCCGTTATTCAAACTGGCTGGTTAGAACAGAACCCCATGTGGCGCATATAACCCTCTCAAAACCAGTTCTGCAAGCTCTGTCCCTCCGCCGCCCTTTCCCTACTTAAGCCCCTCAGAAGAACTCACTCTATTTCCATGTTCAGAAGCTCCACCAAAGCGTTGAACGTGCCCACCTCCAGGAGCAGAAAGATGTTGTAGCGCATCCAGGACTGCACCTCTGCCTCCGAGCTACACTCCCCAAAGGTGCCTGCAAACACAGGGCACAGCTCACTGAGCCCCTGTCCATATCTGACTGGGCAGCATCACTGAAGTGGGTGCCAGGGGTCCCTGGGTGTCCACTCAGACCTTGGGCAACGTAGAGGATCGCTCGAGCCACCTTCAGCCTCTTCTCCCTGGCAGTGACCTCCAAGCCGTCCAGGAGCCTCATAGCGTGGGTGCGGTGCTGGTTGGTGTCCAGCTCAGTCCACTTCTTATCTGTCACTGCCGGGCAAGAGACCACTTACACTGGAGTCCAGAAAAATCCTCACAGTGGGAGGGACACCATGTTAACCCATCAAATTCAGGACTGCCACAGAACCAGAACACTCAGAAAGATAAATTACTCTCTATATAAGGGATGAGGCCACACTGCTGCCCTATGAATCTGAATTTCCAGCCTGAAACACTGCTTTTTTGCGTGCAATTTTAATCACATAAAGGTTTTTCCCCCCAATACTCACATTCTGAAAAGGCCCCACCAGAGTACCTGCAAGCCCACCCTAAATGTCCCATCTGGCCTTGAATAATCATGGTTCAGCAGGTTTCTCAGGCCACTCCAGGATGACTTAAGTCATTCAGATGACTAAGAGAAGCCCTACAGAGCTCTCATGATGCAAGTTGAAAGAGCCAAGAAGTGGGGGGAATCATCTCACCATGCATCCGGAAGTCCTCCTCAAAGCATTTTCGATTCATCAGGAATTCTGGCCCTTCTGTATAGCTGTAAAGCTCTGTCAAGAACAAAGTGTCATCGTCTCCATGTCCACGTCCTACAGCAGGTGTCACATGTAGCAGAGAAGGTATGCTTCTAGGCCCAGCTCTGCCCCGAGTCACAGTGACTCCTGGACTGTGCTGTCTAATTACTAACGGGGTCTTAGTGCTCTGATGTGCACAAAGGAGAGAATGCTGACTTCCCTTGCAGCCAATAACCAGATGCCAGTCAGGCATAAAGCCAGGCATTTCCAGTCCAACGTGCATCAACCCCACCATGCCATGCCAGAGGATGACCGCCACCGTGAAAGTGTGTCTCTCAAGTGGCTTGAGAATAGGGCCTGTGCTATGGAGGCATGAGAATCAACTCAGGCTGACTTCATATTACACGTGAGCGGCAGTGGCAGCGACAGATGGGCACAGATGCAGGCACACTTGCTGGCACTCCTCAGGACCCCTGTTCTAGGAGAGACCACTGTCAGGGGGATTGCATATGGCCAAGGAACATCAATGTCCACACTGGGACTGGGCCACAGCCAAGTAAGCTGATCATGCAGAGACGCTTCATGAAAGTAAAGGACAAGCCGAAGTTATGAGATACAAAGGGCTTGAACCCAATAATTAACGTGTTTTACATATACACATCACTACTAGGACTATCTAGGGGGAAAAAATGAACTCCAAGATGACACTCACTCCTAATTTTATTAAAGACCAATAAGGAAAAACAGCACCCCCAAATAATACGAAGGCCTGTGCTTTACCTGAGAGCTCTGCAGCCCACTTGTCCGTGTCAGCATACTCAAACTCCAGGTCTGGAGACTCGGAATAGCCCTGCTGAGAAAAGGAGAGTTATGCAAAAGATCACTGTGTTTTCCAAAGGAACAAACACATATGCTTCCAGAGACACTGTTGTGTCACAGGACGTCCTTGCCTCTACTTTTCTGATGTTGTATCACAGTATTTTGTCTCCTGGGAAGTTCAGGTCTCCCTAATAAGCCCTCTCAGAGCACCTTGCACTGCTCCTTCACAGCACTTATCATAATTCATAATCATATATGCGCATGTGTATCTGTTTAGTGTCTGCCTCTCCATGAGACTGCCAAGTTTCCCGAGAGTGGGAGTTTTGTCCATTTTGCTCACCAATGATTCCACAATGCCCAGCACACTACTTGGCATGAATGACTGACTGAATGAATAGCTTATACTCAAATAAGTACTTGTTGGATGAATGAACACTGAAGCTTCCATGTTCTCTGTGCAGTGAAATGACCATTCCACATGGTGCTAAGATTTTGGAAGCCTCATTTCTTTCTGGCTAGTGGGCTACCAATAGCTCAGAAAAAAATGAGTATAGACACCCTCAGCCTTCCTGCCCTTCTCTCAAATTTCAGTGAGAACTGACAAGAGAAGGCAGCGGCTGAACAGAAATGGGTTCCCTCCCACACACAGGAGAGACTATGACAAAGAGAATCTTTTTACTGCTGGGGATAGGTGAGTACTGAGAACACACCATCTTGGAAGCCCTGTTCTGGGAAAAGAGAAGAGGTGAAGAGAAAGGTAGTCCTCGAACTTAATTACAATCTACTTGGGAAGACAAAGACCACCCACAAAGTGATATATGCACAAACAGTGAATAACGTGAAGAACTCTACGCCTTATTCGACGCAACAGAGTGCACACTCTCATAAGTTCCTGAGCTTCAGTTTCTTCATTTATGGAATGAGGATGACACAAATCTATCTTGAAGGTTTTTAAGGACTAATCAAAACTGTGTAGCACACGGTGGACTCTCATCAAATATCTGCCTCCCTGGCCTGCAGGCATTCCTCATGCTCCCAGCCTACTGATTTCAGCTATGACTCAGAAAAGAGCCACATCAGTATCTGTAAGAAAACAGATTTACGCAGGTCTCTCAGCTTAAATGTGTTCTCTGCCTGACCTTCCACGTGTTGCGTCTATACAGAAATTAAAGGGCAGAAAGAGCAAGTGCATTTAATGGCCACTTAGGAAACTTTTTAACTATTTTAAAACTAGGACTCCTCTCATGATGAAAGTGGATTCACGCCTACCACTTTCATAATCCTCCATACTTGAAAAATTATTAAGAAGTCGCCACTGATGTGCAATAAGCCCACCATGCAAGGGCTACTAAAACGTCAGTTTCATTGCTTTTTCAAGTCATTCACTTCAAGCTCAAAGTGTATCTGATTGTAACGTGCTAAATTTTGATGTTTTATCAGAGGTTTGCTCTTGCCAACAAAAACCAAAAGCTTGAGAGGAACTGATTTCACATGTCTAAAGATAGCGTCATCACTCTTTGGTATGACCTGGTACATTATGTCGGGACAATGAGGAATTTCCTCTCATCAATAAGCACCTGACTGCTAATCAGCCTCGGTGTCCTCTCAGGTGAAGAAAACCTCACAGTAAGTGCTCTGGGAACAAGGTGATTAAGAAGCCCTAAAGCGCTGCGACGTGCGTGTCTTCATTCATGAATTCTACAACGGAGGCAGTGGGAGTAATTCTTTAACTCGGGGTGAGGTGACTAGTCAGCTCCAGACTACTGTGTCTACGGAATGGGAGGAACAGCCCACTAGCAAGAGAAGAGGGATGCTGAGCCCTAACGCATGTTTAAATATATATATTTCTAATCTTTAACAGTTCAGCATCGGGCGCACTGGGCACACCAACCACCGGGCGCTGTCAAACCGTGGCCTGAACCTGCAGTGGCTAAGGTCAGAGTGAACAGGACTGCTCCCCCTCCTACTCTCGCAACCTCGAGGCGCACAGTGCATACTACTAGTGCTAATTAGCTCCGTCAGTCTTCCAGGTGCCTTCCCAGCCCTCGCCAGTCCCTTCCCTGCCCACACACGCCGTCCGCCGCGGAACCCACGCGACCAGAAGCCGGAGATGACTAGGGGGTCTGGGGGTGCAGCCGCCCCGCCCTCTGGAGCGCACGCAGACCACTGACTCTTCACCCCGAACTGAGGCAGGGGTTGGATTCCCCAGGGGCTGGGACCCGGAGGTCGCGCTCACAGCCCCGGCCACAGAGGAGCAAACGAGCCGACAGCGGCTCGGGGAGGTTCTCCCGGTCTGCCAAGCTCCGGGCGGGGACCCCGCCTTCACGCCTCCGGCCTCGGGGAATGCCAGCCTTGCTTCCTGCACCTTTCGCTGTAAATGACAACTTCCCTGCCGAACCCTCCGGGAAACCCAGCCTGGACCCGAAAGTGGCCCCGGGCCCGGACCCCCTGCCGCCGCCTGCCTGGTGTTAGCCTCGCCCCCCGAAGCTCCTGACCTCCGAGTCTTTGCGCTGGTTGCGGTTGAACTCTCGGGCTTTGCCCCCGGGCACGAGGCTCCCGGCGGTCCGCGGTGCCCCAGTTGGAGGCTGCGCCGTTGCGGGCGGCGGAGGTGGCGGCGGCTGGGGCTGCTTGTTGTTCATAATCAGCAGGCCAGGACTGCCGACCGCCGGCTCCATCTTGGCTGCTCCACACCCCCGGCTCAATTCACAGACTGTAGCCGTGATGCAACTCTCGCGTGATTTCCTCCTGGAACGCTCCCTGGTCGCCATATTAAGTGTGGCGGCAAGTGGCAGAGCCATCTTGGCTGTCCAACATCTCGCGAGATTTCTTCTGTTTGAAATCTAGTCCTTCTACGTCTTTTTAGTTTCTACCCTGTTTCTTTTCCAGTTTAGAGGTCGTTTTATCTGTGAAGATTCCCTTAGCCCCTTCAGTCAGTTTAGTGCCCCTCTCCTTCCTTTAACATCGCTTTGCACTTGTCACTTTTACAGCCCTGTCCAAAGGTTGGGGGTATTGCAGTGAACAAAATGGACACGATCCCAGTCTTCACGAAGATTACATTCACGTGGGGGCGATGTGGGAAACAAATGAGTAAATCAATGAAACAATTACAGTTTTAACATTAATTAATCATTCATTCAACAAACATTTAATGAATGCCTCCTAGGCTCCAGGCAGTGCGATAGAATGGGTGACAAAATCAAGTTCCTGCACTAATGGTACATAACATAGAGCCTAGGGGGAGAGACAGACAATGCGGTCACAATTAGACAAATAAGTGCTGAGAAGAAATGAAAAGAAGTGTAAGGGACTGGAAGGTTACAGTGATGGGGGTGGGGGAGGTGCGGCAGGGCCATATTAGATAGGCTGCTCAGGGAAGGCAGGCCTGAGAGTGCGATTTTGAATGAGTTCTCAAAGAAGTCAGGGAGGGCCACACCAAGATCCATGGAAGCAACACAGGCAGAAGGACCAGCTAACTGCAGGAGCTCTGAGGTGCCGTGGCAGGAACTGAGTGAGCCAGGGGAAGAATAGTAGGAGATGAGGGCCATGTAAATGCAGGGGCCAGTTAAATACAGAGGCTTGAAAGGCATGGATCGGAGTTTGGATTTTATTCCAAGTGAAATGGAAAACCAGCAGAAGTTGTTAACCAGGCAGATGTAATGGTCTGATGTTTAAAAGACCGATCTGGCTGCTTTGGGAGAAGGGATTGGGAGAGTAGGTGCAAGAATAAGTGAGGGTAGACAGGTTAAGAGACTGTATAGGTGGAAATGATGGTGGTTTACACCGGGGCAGATCACTGGGTTGATATGGTATTTCTATATTATGTAGGTAGTTTCAACAGGATTTGCTGAAAGACTGGAATCCTATCAGCAGGATAGAAAGGAATAAAGGATGAGTCCTAGATTTTTGGCTTGAGCACTGGGTGGGTGGTTGTATTGCTTATTAAAACAGAGACGTCTGGGAGAAAGAAAAATGGGTTTAGGGGGAAGATCAAGATGTCTGTTTTGGACATGTCATGTTTGAGATGCCCATTTGACATCTTAGAGGTGATGTGTAATAATTACCTGTCACTATGTTGTGAAATCCTTAAAGGCACTTTATTCATCTTTGTCTCTCCAGAACTACATTTTGGCTGCTCCACACCCCCTGCTCAATTCTTGTAAAGTCATTGTGATGCAACTTTTGCATGATTTCTGCCAAGGTTCCACCTAGTAGGTGCTTTAAAGTCTTTGCGGCAAAATAATGAATAAGCCCAAAGCTGTTTTGCCGGCACTTCCTCCTACCTATCTTCCTATCTTTTGCCCCTGTTCCTTCTCAAATCCAATAATACACTTTATAAATAAGCATTTCATCCAAGCTGGGCTGGGTCAAGCTGATAGGAAAAACTAAGGAATTTGCAGGAAAAGGACCAATGCTGAGAGGCTTTTTAGATAATACCAGCAAATCCCACGCAGCCCAACACCTGACATCTAGTTTCAGTGACCACAGTTTGGTCAAGTTCTAAGGCTGACCAAAAGCTTAGAAGCTTTGGTCAAGTTCTAAGACTGACTACCACAAGTTCTATCACCCAACATAGCCAAAAATAAAATAAATAAATTTATTTAAAAAATAGTACAGAAATAGTATTCCATTGTTTATCCAGTTACCTGTTGATAGACACGTGGGTTGTTTCCAGTTGTTCTCACTTGTTCAAACTTATCAAGAAGTAAATGCCAGAGCTTCCCTGGTGGCGCAGTGGTTGAGAGTCCGCCTGTCGATGCAAGGGACACGGGTTCGTGCCCCGGTCCGGGAAGATCCCACATGCCGCGGAGCGGCTGGGCCCGTGGGCCATGGCCACTGAGACTGCGCGTCCGAATCCTGTGCTCCGCAACGGGAGAGGACGCAACGGTGAGAGGCTCGCGTACCGCCAAAGGAGCACAGCCCTGCCGACACCTTGATTTTGAACTTCTAGTCTCCAGAACTGAGAAGAAATAAATATCTGTTGTTTTAAGCCACCCAGCTGGTGGTACTTTGTTACAGCAGCCCTAGGAGACTAATACAAATGGCTTCAAATGTTTTAAATGTATTCGTTCGCTACTGCAATCAGCAGATGTTAAAGGAGCACTCTTTATGTGCCAGGCACTTGGCTAGGTATATCAAAGATAAATAAGACATGCTTCCTGCCTCCATTCCTAGAATGTGTCCATCAGGAAGGACAGCTATGTAAATACACGATTGCAGTACTTGGTTAGGATTGTGTATGAAGCTCAGTGGTGGCACAGTGGAGCTGGGAGAACCACGGACGGTTTTACAAGAGACCTTTATGCTTGGTTTGAAAGAAAGAGCTGAAATCAACCTCTGTGGGAATTCTGCTTGATTCTGCCACCACTAGTGCTATCACTCCTAACTAGTTCAAGGTATGTAGCGACCTGTTACTAGAATTCTCTCACCACAGACCAGTCAAAGTAATTTTTATGTTTATTTTCTTATTTCGGCTGTGCCGCACAGCTTGCGGGATCTCAGTTCTCTGCCCAGGGATTGAACCTGGGCCTCTGCAGTGAAAGCACTGAATCCTCACCACTAGACGATCAGGGACCTCCCCAAAGTAATTTTTAAAACGCAACCAGATCATGCTACTCTGCTGAAAATATCGATGGGTCCTTATCACAATGAAAATAAAATCCAAACTCCTTTTCATCATACAGCCCCATAAAATCTGATCCCTCCTAACTTCAGTCTCATCTCCTTGTACAGTGGTCTCCTTGCTGTCTGTGAACACTGTCAGGTTTGTTCCCATCTTTGACTTTGCACTTGCTCTGCCCTCAGACCCAAGACCTTCCGTGGCTCCTCTTCCTTCAAGTCTCAGCTCACCTTTTGCAGGGAGCCTTCCCTGACCACCCTATTTAAAAAGCACCCCTCCCCCATCTATCTTATTACCTTTTTTTATTTATGGCACATACCACTAATTGGATTTGTCTATTTCTGCCTGGCTTCCACCCCCACCTTACCCTCCATCCCTGACACCATAGAATGTGTGGTCAGGAATCAGGGATCTTGTTTATACTGTTTGCTGCTTATACTGTTCACTGCTGTGTCCCTGGTGTACAGCACATAGGAAGTGTTCAGTACAGAAGAATGAAGAAAAACTTACTCTTTTAGTCTCATGCTTATCATGTCAGATCATATGTCCCTATGACTCTCTTTGGGATGATTCCCAAACTGTATTCTTATAATTTCATTTTATAGTCCCAGCCTATTCCCTCCCTGCAAAATTACACCTTCATCTTTATACCCTTTCTGAGCTGCCCTCTGTAGTACTGGAGCTATCTTAATCTCTAAAATTGTGTAGTCTTATTTAAGAATGCACTGAGATTTAGAAAAGTTGCCCAAAGTAACACAGCCATAAATGGTGTTTCTAGGATTTGAACTTAGATCTCTCTCTGACTAGAGGGCCTTTCTGGCTGTGCTCCTATGGGGGCTTTAATCCAGAATTAAAATAGGAGCCCTGTCCATTTGGACTAGAACTAGCAAACACTTATTATTTGTTTCTATAAAAAGAGCTGGGTGATATTTGTTTAAAGGAATTCTAAAAAGTAACTTTAGTTTTTTTTGGACTAAAGTTAATTTGCTTGTTATAAAGAAGAAAGTAAACATCTACCACCCAGAGACAACTGCTGTTAACATAAAGAACATTTTTATCCAGTATTTTTCTGTGCAGAAAGAAAATAATGTCATGTTGTTTTCCTACACAAATCTTTCTCTGAATTTTGAAATGACTTCCTAATGTAATTATTAGATCAAAGCATATTTCCAAATTTTTTTCCAGAAAGGTGACCCCAATTTACATTTCCATGAGCAGCACGTGAGTGCCTTTTCATACCATGCCAATATTTTTGGTTTCCACTTCTTGGATTTTTCTTGATATTAAACTTGGAATATACGTTTATTAGTCACCTACTATCTTCTATGACTTGTCTATATCCATTGCCTATTTTTCTATTGGCAACTTAGTATATTTTAAATCAGTTTTTGAATTTTTATATTGATAATGAAAATTTTGTCATATTTGTGGCAAACTTCCCCTTTTTTGACTTATTTTTATTTTTAAATTTATTTATTTATTTTTGGCTGCGTTGGGTCTTCCTTACTGTGCGCAGGCTTTTACTAGTTGTGGTGAGCAGGGGCTACTCTTCGTTGCAGTGCGCGGGCTTCTCACTGCAGTGGCTTCTCTTGTTGCGGAGCACGGGTTCTACGCGCGTGGGCTTCACTAGTTGTGGCACGTAGGCTCAGTATTTGTGGCTCACGGACTCGAGAGCACAGGCTCAGTAGTTGTGGTGCATGGGCTTAGCTGCTTCGCAGCTGTGGGATTTTCCTGGACCAGGGCTCGAACCTGTGTCCCCTGCATTGGCAAGCAGATTCCTAACCACTGCGCCACCAGGGAGGTCTGTTGACTTATTTTTAATAAAATGATGTTCTACCTGTACTGCTAAGCCGTTATCCTAGTAAGTCTTATCTCTTTAAGGATGTAGTCATCAGAGTGAATTTTTGTTAATAAAAGTTTTCAGCATTTTTAATTCTTCCACACAAACTTTTTGTCTTCAGCATACTAATTTGATAAAAAAATCTTTCTCATTTTAATAAGTTGTATGGACTAATTGTCAATAACAAATTATAGCTAATTATCTCTGTGTATTTTAAATATATTGTAAGAGGAAG